CTTGAGGGAGGGGGGGGGGAGGGTCAAAGACGAGTTAAATCGGGCCATCATACCATTGTTTCCGCCGCCAAACACGTATAACATCCGGACCCACCAAAATCCTTCGACCATCTCACTCTCCTCAACTCGAGGACACCGCCTCGCGAAACAAAACTGTCCGGAAAAATACGAGTTCTCGTGTACTGGCAAGCAATAACCACTTGGTAGATGCACCGGGAAGCCATGGAAGTATCACTGAGGGATCGATAGTTCCAGCTTAGTCAAGACAGCAATAATGTTTTAACTATAAATGTCTGAAAACTTGGACAAATTGATTTTCGCAAGTACATGGACAAAACGATCCTGGAACGAAGGTCTGCGCTTATCAAGATATTTAACATAGATCAAAGATTACGTGAAGAAATACAGTACACAATTAAAGATAAAAAGATACTGATCTAGAACACTCTTTATGAATAAGACGTGAGAGTGTCATGATCTAGACAGATATTAAATCCCGCTGGAAGTTTCCGAACAGTATAAACGAGTTCCCGAATCAATAAACTTTTTAATGACATCCCGAACTTTGGGATAAACAACCGAAATCACTTCTGCAGCATAGCGATATTGAAGAAGAACGAAAAAAAAGTGTGTCAGATTGAAATAAAACGCAGCTTATACCACGCAACGCATCCATAATTATAGCCACGATATTAGCGCAATACATGTAATTGTACTATAATCATTATTCCAATTGATATTCCTTCTCTCTTTTTCTTCAAAATTATTCGTACATAACATACAATAATGAAAACAGTAATTTTATTATTGTTATTTATGTTTGTAATAGTAATTTTTATATGTACAGCAAAGAGTATCGCAGAAAATTTCTCTTGCAAAGAGATAAAAAGTTGCGACCATTACAAACGTAAGCAAGTAAATTTTGAAAAATCTTTAGATAAAGAATGTTTGTTCAATATTTACGGTTCTTTGTTAAGATTAACTTTATTATCTAATACAAATACAATCTAATCATTTTAAGTAGAAAATATTATTGATGAGAGTATTCATTGCTTTTATAATTAATAAAACTAAAGTTATCATTACGGATAGAGATAATTGTTAAAGCGATGTTAGGGTTTGACTGTGACACCAGTTATTGTTATGATAAGAACGTATAAAGCGAATATTAAATGAGGAGTATTTGAAAAAATATCAATAAAGAATATCTCAAGCTTGGTGATACATTTATAGAATGACTGAATCTCTTTGCTCTAAGTTTCTTTTTATGCTCCAAAGTATTCATATCTGTTTCGTAAACTAGTCTTTTACTTTACGCTTATGCCTCAATTAGACAAGTAGGACTCGTACCTTTTACATTCTATTACAAAAGAAAGGGATCACATAACTATAATTTTACGATGCGTTCGTTGATTTAAATGCAGATATCAGCATGAAACGATGTATATGCACGAAAAAATGGAGCAGACGCTCTCTCTCAAATCGGTCTGGCATGCACCGCGTGCATTACACATTTATAACAGTTTCAATGAGTGCCGTTGCTAAATGCATACGAAAGAATCCGCGATCGAGCAAACTGTCCAACAACATGAAATCATTCTGCGTTCTTTACACAAAGATAAAAACTATGTCGCGACGTATCACCCCTGTCGTTTGCGTCAGGATATTTCCTCGCGGTACATCCCGTGAAAAAAAATTAATATAA